AGGTTTTTACTAAAGTGAATGTGTTAATTGAAGCTCTTCCATTCAAATATTATTCAATTAATGAAGAGTGCTAATTTAAAGAATTTTATAAATGAATTAAATGTGGGGACTAAGGAATTTATTTTCATTTAGGAAAAAGCACTGTAATGTTTCAGTATTCAAATTATGCTGGTTATCTAATACAGTGTCAATGACAATTATATTTACTTAATGTGTTTTGTTGAATAATTTTATTTGAATTGTATCAATCCTTAAAAATCAGCTCACTGGTAGACCTGAGTTCTTAGAACTAAAAGGTCTTGTCATTGAGGTAGTTTTTGTGTCTGTTCCCAGTTCGGATTCCTTATTTTGTACTTTTTTGTTAATTAAGTTGTTGAACACAAAAATAGGAGATTGTTTTACTTTAATTTGTACTGAGAACATTTGTAGGGTTTGAAAGATGTGGGGACTATAATGTGCTTAATAGAACTGTTTCCAGTTTTAGCTCATAAGCAACAAATGGGTTGAAAATATATAGACAATATAGTGAGCTCCACTCACTAGGGATTCTACTTGGCAAATTTGGGCTGTTATAGGAGCTTTTATGAGTGTGTGTGTTCTAGTGATTTCCAGTTAAGTTTTCTTGTATCATTCCTCCATCCTGTATGTTGTTCTTGCCCAAAGCTGCCCTGTTTTTAAGTTGCTTTCCTTCTCCCTAGCTAAAACCTTGGAAGCAGATTTCTTTTTTCTGTCACCAACCATATCTAGCCAGTCACCAGTCCTGAGCATAATGATACTCCAATAAACAGCCCACAGTTTGTCCTTCATTCCCTATTTCTATTCACTTTTCATGCATACCCCAGGTGTTCATCAAGTGCTTATTCTAGCTAGGTAATTGTTGAGCAGTGGGGCAGGGGTCAGGATGACTTGCAGCAAATGAGACAAATGCACATTGTTGTAATTGCTGGGCAGAAATGGACAGCAATGCTATCAAAGATAAATAAGCTGAGGAGAGAGGCACTGTGGAGCAGTGGTTAGGGAAGGCCTGCATTTGATCTTCTGTTTAGGGACTCTGGGGGTACAGGACAGCAGGTGAAGAGGTCCCAGTGTCAGAAGGCCTTTCCGTAGGTTTCAGGAGCAGAAGGGCATATCAGTCCACACCAGGTCACTGGAGAGAGGGCTGTGCTGAGCTTATGTGGGAGAGGCAGACCCAGCCTCTCAGTGTTTGGAAAGGACTCAGATTTTATCCTAAGAACCAGTGTCATGATGTGATATATTTTAAAAAATACCAATGTGGAGAGTATGATAAGAGAGAGACCAAATAGTACTATTATAGTCCCAGGTGGAGACATAATACCTTGTTATAAAGTACTATTTGTAGCAATGGAGCAAGAGACAAATGGAGAGATAGACTTTAGAAAAAGAGCAAGTGGCACTTACCAGTGGTTGCACATGGGCAGCAAAGAGGTAAGGTAAAAATGAAGGATGCATTTTAGATTTAGAATACATTGATTTAGATCACAAGGGAACATTTAGACTGTACCATCTCTTCTCACAGTGTGGTGTGCAGGCTTCTTGGGAAGAGGTGAGAGTAGGGTTTTTTTAATAAAAACAGTTCCTCTCCCTCCCCCCTCCCCCCCCATTTAATTGGAGATGGAGTCTCAAAGACTTTTCTACCTGGGCTGGCCTCAAACAGAGATCCTCTGATTCTAGCTTCCTGAGTAGGTAGGATTATGGGCCAGTGAGTGGGCTTCCTTGAGACCTTTTTATGTGATCTTCATGATAAAAATGATTTTTATGTCAACATTAAGACAGTTTTAGCAAAGCTACTTGGCTTTGAATCAGTGCAATAGCACCAAACTGAATGAGGCTTTGTACTCTTTACCTGTTAGGTAGTGATAATGGGGGGCGGGGAAGGTGCAGTGTCACTTAATGCTGTCTCTGGGTGAGGCTCTATCTCATGGAACACTACTTGCCTAGCACACAGGAGTCCCTGCTTCCATCTCTAGCACGGACAAAACAAAACAAAACAAAAAAGCCCTGGCAAGGCCAATGTGAGAGAAGCATTCTTTTTTTTTCTTTTTTCTTTTTTGGTCTGTTGTGGGGCCTGAACTCTAGGCCTGGGCGCTGTCCCTCAGCTCTTCAGCTCAAGGTGAGTGCTCTACCACTTGAGACATAGCACCACTTCTGGTTTTTTCTGCTTATGTGGTGCTGAGGAATTGAACCCAGGGCCTCATGCATGCAAGGCAAGCATTGTACCACTGAGCCACCTTCCCAGCCTTGAGAGAAACATTCTTACTAAATCTCAGTTGTCAAATACATGCCTTCTAATGATGTGTGAATTGAGAGGCACTTTTAAAGCACTACTATAGTAAATCAAAGTTCTCACAAGGAACAGCATTTATGCAGTTTGGAGAGAAAGTGGAATAGCTGCTGTTTTCCTAGTATATTTTTACTTGAAAGAGCAACAGATAAATTGTGTTTTTTCAGAGAAGTTTTTGCACATATTTTCTTTTTCTTTTTTAAATATTGTAAATATTGTAAAGGTGATAAATAAGGTAATAAGCACATTTCTTTTTAAACACTGTTACCCCCTCCCTTATCCCCTCCTGCTTCAAGTTGTATAGTTCATTTCCAACATAGTGTCTAGTGAGTATCAGTGTTGCATTAGATCATCCTTTGTCCTGCTGTTTCTATGATTCCCTTTCCCTTCTGTGGATCGGGTAAACTTATATACAAGACAAAGGGTACAGAGAACTGAAATGGAAAACAAAAAAGAAATAACTGCATATAGCACATAATAAGAACCTCTTGTCTTCAATTCTTGGAGTTCATGTTAATATACTTCATTATATATGGTCCTATTTGTACATATTTTCTTGAAATCAGTTTTAAAGAAAAAAAAAGTTATTTGTACCAGTGTTAAAGTTTTAACTTTTAAGGTGAAAATTAGAGTTCTTAGGAACCTTGTATTCATCTTTGTGACCATGATGAAATTAATGGTGATAGTTATTAAAGGATATGATTTTTAAAATACAGAATAAGGACATGATAATCTTAATAAGATCTGAGTTAATTCAGTGAACTAAAAATTTTCTAGATGATCAGTGTATAATGCTACAGAACCATGGATGAGTAAAGCCCTGCTAGGGGGTGAGACAGATGATTAGATTGTTCCAGGGAGGTTCATTGGTACAGCGTGAGAGTCTACCCTGCTGCTAACCTTGAGCTCTGTCCGGACCAGGAGGAAATGCCAGGCTGGCATTTAGGTACAGGCTTTGTAGCTCAGATGAAGATGTCACATAATGTATTTGGGTAGTATTCAAAGCCATGGAACTGATAGGTTGATCTGAGGAGAAAGTGTAGATTTACTCCCCTGCGCCCCCCTCCTCCCCCCAAAAAATTAAGTCTCAGGACACACATGTGTAAGCTAGATAGAAGAAACTTAGAAAGCATGGCTGTGCTGTAGGAGAAAAGCCCTGAGGATATGAAGTCACGGAAGGCCTCAGGAAGGGTCTGGTCAGTTATGAGGAAGAGTAGGCCCTTGCTGCTGCCTCGCCTTTACTGTCTCTTCCCTAGATGTTCTCAGCAACCTGTTGACTGGCTTTGTGCAATGCTTGAATTTCCTCTACTATGCCTTCTTGTTAAATTCTCTTTCAAAAGCAGTTACACATTCTCTCTAGGCTGCTTAAAACCCATCATTAGTTCCCTGATATCAATCAACTGGGTAATTGCACACACACACATGTGTGCCCCTGTATGTGCTGGTGTACTTTGCCACACTGCGCTGCTGGTGTCATCTTTGCCCTGTATCAGATGACTGTGTGTGTACACACACTTGCAATATATGGCTGGAGATCAGTTGGGTTGTCATAGGGAAAAATAAATACTGGTTTTGTGTTCTACAAAAACTGAATTCCAAGTGGATTGTACATCTAAATATGACAGGTTAAACAATAAAGCTGATACAATAAAATATCATGAGAGCTTACAGTAGGGAAACAATTTATAGTGTCCAAAGTGTTTATCATAGATTGATTACTTTGATGACTTTAAACTCCAAGAGGTTTCTGTTATTTTGCCCTTTTCCCCCTGTATTACTATTTTTGTTTTCTGTACTTGTCTTATATATGTTTGTCTGTTTTGGAGAAGGAAAGGGGGCAGCGGGAGAACAGCTATGGTAGGAGAAAGGGTGAACAGATGCACACTGTGTTGAAAGTGAACCATACAACTTGTGAGGGGCGGAGAGGAGAAAAAAGTGGGAGAAAACGAGGGAAGAGATGACACTGTTAAAAAAGAAATTACCTCATTACTTGCCTTACATGACTGTAACCCCCCTATATTACCTTTACAATAACAATAAAATAAAAATTAGAAAATTAGAATTTCTGTTCATTAATTCATCAAAGATACCATTTGTAAGGTCTTAAAAAGACAAGTCACAGGATAAGTGAAGGGGCTGGGAATACCAGTTACCTATGTCCTGAACATTTCTTGTTGGCTTTAAAGGGTATGAGGAAAAGATGTCTTTATCAGTTTTTTTTTTTAAAGGGACCTTAAATTTTGGCTCAGATTTTCGTGAGGTTCCTGACATATTGTTACTTTTCAGCATATGTTTGTCAAATTAATGAATGAATGTCTTACAGTTGCACAGAGAAGACCAAATAGTCTCATAACTTTAAACTTAGAACTTATAGTAAGCATTACATTAGAATAAATGAGTAGAAGTACTAAAAGGACTAATATTTTTAGGATATGAAGGAGGCTTAGGTAGTTAGCTTGATTATGGAGATTCGAGCCTGGTGTTTTCATGAGGCACAGGATGAAGGGGAACCGGCGGATCTGTATGACAGCACGTGCTGCTGCTTTGGATAAGGGGACATGGTGGAGGCAGTGCATGCCTGTGGGAGCTAACTAGAGCTTGGCTTTAACAAATCATGTTTTGGGCATATGACTGACTTGACTCAGTAATCATTGTGGGTTTTTTTTTTTAAGTTTTGATTTTTTTTTTTTTTTTGCAGAGATCCAAAGTTACTGTTGCTGCAGACCATGGATGAGAAATCACAAGGAATGCAAGGGCCACCTGTTCCCCAGTTCCAACCACAGGTAATTTATTCTAATTGTGTGGGCACCTGAGATGTATGAATAAGGAAGCAGTACATACGCAGTTCCTTTAGGAAGCACACAGGACTCGTGAAATTTTCCGAGTTTAGTCAGAGTTGTTGATTTTTAAATACTATGTAATACTTAGGCCTCATGAAAGAGTATGCCAACAAAGCGGCAGCTTTAGCATTTCATTCCATCTGGATGGTCTGTAGGCTTCAGAGATGAGGAGTAGGCTCAGGGAGAAGGGAAAGAAAGTGAGGCTGTGTCTGGGCATTCGCTACCTGCCTCTGCCTCGGTAGCTGATCTTGCCTGGCTTACAGCTACCTACCATTATTCTCTCTCTCTGACTGCTAGTGTCCCTTCTCCTTCATGCGTTCCTTGTTTCGTGTAAGATGAAGACTATTGGAGTTTATCATTTAGCATGCTGCATTTGTTATGGAGGCTTGTCATAAATGGTAGCATCAATGGCATGTTTAAAATAATAAGCAACCCTTTATATATTTTTTTTCTCAATATTGGGTGTTGAACATAGAGCTTTGCATTTGCTAGGCAACCATTCCACTACTTGAGTTCTGCCTTGGCTGGCCACAGATTTATGATCTCCTTCCTCTTTCTGCTTCATCTCTTCTGGTTTTACAGATGTGCTGACCACCGCGCTCAACTACTCTTGTCTTTCAATGTGGTGTTGGATGCCTTTTATAGTAGGTATCAAATCTCTACCCCAGGTCAACTGGTCTATTGTCTAGTTTTTCTTGGACAGTACTTTTCAAAGTGTCTGAGGAACTGAAGGAATTTCTTTTGAATGAGATCTGTAGTCACATAGGTTTTGAGAACCTTAGGAAAAACAGTGACTTCAGACAGGATCACTTTAGAATCTTATACCAGTGTGGTATGGTATACTACTCATAAGTATATTATACCATTAACTATATATGGTAGCATGCTTTTCAGACTCCCCCTCCCCCCCTCCTCTGCAATGGTGTTTTTAACTCAGGGCCTTGTGCTTGCCAGACACTCTACCACTTGAGAGAACCTCTTCTAGCATTTCCCTCCCCCCACCCCCAGCCCCTTTTATGTGAGTGGGTCCTGGGGCTTGAACTCAAGGTCTTGGTGCTGTCCCTGAGCTTTTTGCTCAAAGCTATAGCATTCAGCCACACTTGAACCACAGCTCCATTTCTGGCCTATTGTTGGTTAGTTGGAGAGCCCCACAGACTTTTGTCCATTGACTGGCTTTGAACCAATCACTTCAGATTTCAGCCTCCTGATTGGTTGGATTACAGGGGAACCACTGATGCCCAGCTTCTTGCAGTCCTTTTTGCTTTAGTTGTTTTTTAGCTACAGTTTGTTTGTTTTTTTTTTGGTCTTTGCCTAAGCTGGCTTAGGTCTCAGATCTATAACCTGTGTCTCTCACAGTTGGGATTGCCACCATGCTAGCTGATTTGTTGAATGAGGCCTCACAAACCTTTTCTCTACGGACTGTTCTGTCCTAGGTAGCTGCAGTTATAGGTAGGAGCTATCTACGCACCTGGATTCCTTTTCTGTTCTCTCTCTCTCTCTCTCTCTCTCTCATAAAATGCATCTATTGACTTCTAGGAGCAAAGGTCAGAAAACACTACCTACAAAAACCATCTTTTTTGTAACGCTACTCATCTTGCACCCTCTAATTTTTGAAATTCTGCCCATCCTTCAAAGGTTGTCTAAATAAAATGCCGTCTACCGTGAGGCTTTGTCTGTTCTTTCCTCCTTTGGAGCTGGCTGCTTACTCTCTGAACCTCTTCTGCTATCTGTGTCATGTTCTGATGGATATTTTTCCTCTAGTCTTGTTAAGTCAGAGTCTTCCCATTGCCCCGGGGCCCTGTGGACATGAGTCTTTCACCTGTGGCAGAGATTCAGTGAGAATATATAATGGAGACCACTCAGGAACCTCTCAGCATTAATTAACATGCTTCTGTTAGCCATTAATAGTGATTTTTTAAAAAAATTGATTTTCTTTATTATTTGTAGCTGAATTCTTTGTACTGAGAATAGAGACCTTTTGTTTAAAATAAGGTGGATATTTTAATTTCAGAAAGATTGTTCACTCATTCAGCAATGATGAGGATCAAATCTAGGACCTTGTGATTGGTGGGCAGGTGCTCTACCACTGAATTGTATCCCTAGTTAATTTTTCTTTTTGTGCTGGACCTGGTGCTTCAACTCTGTGCCTGGGTCCTGTCCCTGAGCTCCTTTTGCTTAAGGCTAGAGCTCTACCACTTGAGCCACAGTGCCACTCTCAGCTTTCTCTGTGATTAACTATAGACATGAGACTCATGGACTTTCCAGGTAGGCTTTGAACTGTGATCCTCAGATCTCAGCCTGCTGGGTAGCTAGGATTACAGGCATGAGCCACTGGTATCCGGCTCTTAGTCAGTTTTGTTTTGTTTTTCTTTTTTTTTAAACTTAACTATTCTATTTTTGTATTTGTATAATGGCTATAAACTATACTATCCAACTTACATTAAATAACTTCTATTAGATATATATTTCAATATCAATTTCCCAAACATAGATACTTTATTTTGTGTTATAGTATTTCTAGTGAAGACAATAAAAGCACACCTCTAAAATTAGGTGGGTCGTGTTACGATTTTGAAAATCACAGTTTTGAGTATTGCTGTTTCAAAGCTAAAAAAACCAAACAGAACACTTTCTCTTTTGCCTCCTAGTGACTCACCAGCCAGGAAAGGTCGGGATGGCCGTAGGAGGCAAAAATAAAAGTAATTGTCTTCTTCTGAGACACCAGGCTGCCACACGGTATAAATTTCCAAATTGCAGAAAGGGTTCTGCATCTCCTTTCACACCGTTCCTTTCGCCGCTGCCTCCTGCTGCTGCTCCTGTGTGGCTGCGCCGCTTGGCTTCCCCACAGGAAGTAGGCAAGTGTCATCTGGGCTATGGCTGCCTGTGGCATGTGTGGGGGACTCTATTCCCCTCTCTGCCTCCGGACTGATGGTGTGAGACAGAGAAAGATTACCTGACAAGAGCTTATAGGCGTTATTGCTTATTAAGTCTTTGAAAAATGTTGCTGCTCTCAGTGGCCTTACTTGAGAAGCCCGGGAAAGACAGCCCCTGCTCAGGGTTGACAAACCTTCTTTTGTTTTGTTCCACATCGTTGGCCTGTATAATGGGGGTGATAGGGCAACATATGGTTAGCTCTATGACTTCTTTCACTTTTGTAATGCTAATAGAATCGGGACATAAACAGAAATCTGAAAAAGTCAGCTTCCCAAGTGTCAAATACCAGCTCACTGTTATAATGATGACAGATGTGTAGTCTTAGCAAATCCTTTCTTCTTTTCTTGTTTTTTGGAGGTGAATACTTACAATGCATAATATGTGGTCACACTTTTCGTACAGTATGAATTCCTTTTCTTTTAAGTTTTAGAATGTAGTATTTGCATACCTTTATTAATTTTTTTGCATTAGAATTGTTCTCTTAAGCTTATGGAAAATTAATTTTCCATTATCTTCCTTCCTTTCTTTCATCCTCTTCCTTTACTTTCTTGCCTTAGAGAGCACTGAGGGATATTCTGACTCAGTTCTTATCCGGTATACTTTTATTGGCTTCTATTTGTGGAACAGTAGCTTTAGCTTTATTTCCATTTAATTCAGATTGTATAAAACATAGTGACAAATAAAAAAATACTATAAAACTAGTTTGAAACCCTGGGATTTTTGCAGCATTTACAATACAAATGGAAGTTTACAATAGTTTTTTTTTTTAATTTAAATTTTCCAGTTCTGGGGCTGGAATTCAGGGCCTGGGCACTGTCCCTGAGTTGCTTTTGCTCAAGGCTAGCACTCTACCTACCAGTTGGGCCACAGCGCCACCTCTGGCCTTTTCTGTTTATGTGGTACTGAGGAATGGAACCCAGAGCCTCATGCATGCTAGGCAAACACTCTACCTCTAAGCCACCTTCCCAGCCCCACGTTTACAATAGTTTTTGATTTGTGGTTATTAACTAATGAGGGCTTTCACTCGCCCCCCTCCCATTCCTTCCCCTCCCCCACTCGACCCCGTCAGTACTGGGACTTGAAATGGGGGCCTATGCTCACTGTGCTTGCTTTTTTGCTCATACTGGTGCTCTACCATGGGTCATGCCTACAGTCTGGCTTTTATTATCTATCTATCTATCTATCTATCTATCTATCTATCTATCTATCTATCTATCTATCTATCTATCTCTATCTATCTATCTATATCTGTCTGTCTGTCTGTCTGTCTGTCTGTCTATCTGTCCGTCCATCCATCCATCCATCCATCCATCCATCCATCCATCCATCCATCCATCCTTTAGCTAATTAACTGAAGATGGAGTCTCATGGACTTTTCTTCCCAGGCTGACTTGAAACAACGGTCCTCTAGATTTTTGCCTCCTGAATAGCTAGAATTGTGGTGAGCTATGGTGACTGGCACATTTCCACCCCCTCCCCCCCTTTTTTTTAGTCAAAAAATTAAATATAAATCATTATAGTCAGAATTCTAAGAATTTCTGGAAAGATCAGTTTTAATTGTACTGGTGTAAAACTCAGGCTACTTTTTTTTTGTCGGTTGTGGGGCTTGAACTCTGGGCCTGGACAATGTCCCTCAGCTCTTTAGCTCCAGGCTAGTGCTCTACCACTTGAGCCACAGCACCACTTCTGGTTTTTTGGTAGTTTATTGGAGATACGAGTTTCACGGACTTTTCTGCCTGGGCTGGCCTTGAACCACAATCCTTAGATATCAGCCTCCTGGGCAGCTAGGATTACAGGCGTGAGCCACCAGCACCCAACAGGCTACAATTTTTTTATGTGTCAATTTCTAGATATTGTAACACTTGGGCTATTTGTGAATGAGGGAAGACACCTCAGATCTGCCCATATTGAAAAATTGACAGTTTTTTTTTTATAGCTTGGGGAGGGTTAGAAATCCTTGTCTGAAAAAAGTTTTCTGAATTCATCAGTAAGATAGACCAGTTGTCTTT